AATAAGAGGATGGGGAGTCATCTTCAAGAGCTGTGTTAGACAAATAGAAACAAACCACCTCTATCGGCTGACCAAAATGTTCTCGGAAAATTTATGGAAGCTGAAGAAAGAACGAGCCGAACTGCCAGAGAAGAGGAACGAACAGGTGAGAAGTAGAATGAACGAGCGCCAGAGAGATACCAACCAACGAACGCCAGAGAAGGACCAACAGAGCTTGCTTAAGCGTAACAAACCCAACGAACCGTGAGTTTACCAGATTTAGAGAAGCTGAAGTACGCGAAGGCGGGGACTACCGCAACGGTTTCCTTCCTCAATGGTTCTATGGCAGAAGCGGAGTGGAGCTCAAGGAGTAGAAAGATGGCATTTTCGGAGGTCTTTACGCCGCGATCAAAACATCGTAAACCCCTTACCTTTTTCTTTTTCTTTTTGTTTTTCTTCTTCCTCTGCATATGCCGTTGCTTCTCTCCGTCGCACGGGAAGTCGCTTATCCCGCTCCTTACCGTTTTTCTTATTTGTTCGAGCCTGCAATGATCCCCACACAGATAACTTTCGTTTCTTGCACAACTAGGGTCGTAAATGAGCCAACTCCATTAACAACGCAAACTCACTCGATCGTGTTGTTTCAAATTAGTAAATAAACAAACATGAATATTTTTTTAAAACTCAAAGCTTAAATGAACACATACTTAATCAAACTTATTCATATACATTCACAAACAAAATTTTGATATTAAACTCGATAATAACTCATATTATTTTTGATATATTATTAAATAAAATTTAATTAACTAAAATTTATTTAAATATATATTTAATAGTAATGTATTATTATATCAATAATAATACACGAAAAACCAAACACAATTTGTTTATTTGATATTAGACTCGATAACAGAAAGGTATACCTTTTTAAAGCCTAAAATCATAATACATTTGCAAATACTTTAAGCTTTGTGAATGCCTCCTACGTTAAATGTATCATCTTGAGCTATAAGCCGCACTCTTAAGACTTAGATGAGTCACGCTTGAGATACTCTTGAGCTATGTATTCTTTAAGGTGTTTATATAAACAAACCAATTACATATTTTTAAAATCTTTTACGTGTCTCTTGACATAAAGTCTATATTAAATTCATGGCTTAAAATTTATGCAAGTCTTTAAAGACTTTATAAGTTCTTTAAGAGATTCAAATTTTTGGAATTTAAGCCACCCCCATATATTGAATTCTCAAATACTGGATTCGAGAATGTTACGTGGGCTAATTAGGTTGTCTTGTCTATATAATATTCTAAGTTTCAACCAACTAGTTCGATTTTCCTCCTCGCAAGGATTGGAGTTGACGAGTCTAGTGATTTTGAAATAAATGTTTAAATTTTAAAATAAGAATTTACAAGTCAAAATCACCTAGTATGATCATCCTTCTTGTAAGGACATGAGTCGACGAGACTTATGCCCTAAAAGTCTAAACTAATGTTATTAAATGTTTCTTCAAATATAAATATTTTAAATGCTTAAATCCTCGATGATGATTGTGTTGATCGAAGATTTCTACCAGATGAGTTAATTTTTTAAATCAAGATTTTCGAATTAATGAACAAAAATATCTAAGTTAAAATCATCACTAAAAACTTAAAATAGTTTGTTGATGGTGATAAAATTTTGATTGACTTCTGCTCAAAGCGTGAATATCTTATTAAATATATCTCTGTATTCACAATCAAAGAAATTGTATGTCAGTAAGGACGTGGTCTGAGTCTTTTGTTCGCGTGGTTCTGTCATCAAATATCACGACAAAGTAACGGTTACGACCAAAGCCCTCTGACCGGGTGGTTGCCACCAAATAACACCATTACATTGCGGTCATGGTTGCAACCCGTATTGTTTCCAATGTTTTACTACCATTTGAGTTGTGAACTATAAGGGTACAATTGATCGACACAAAGCCTTTTGGTAGTTGCGGTCAACTTAAATTTGTCCCCTTAGACAAATATATACCTCAGATCTACAAAGTCTCCTTAGATGACGCGGCTCGTAGTTGTTGACAATGATCTTTCAACCATGTTGGGTAGACTACCTCCTCTGATCAACTAGATCTGGAACCGTGACGACCCGAGACAATGGATCCATGGGATCTTGATCTGTTTCGTCATTGTTTCCCTCATCATCCTCTTTAAGCTTCAAGTGACAAATTTTACAATATCATATATGTTATGTTAACTTTGAAATTTATAACGATCGACTACGAAGCGAATAAAAATAGCACGAGAAAGTTCACACAAAAAACACACAGATTTACGTGGTTCGGCAAATTGCTTACATCCACGGAATTGCAGAGGATTTTACTAATTGAGGAATTTACACCGTTTGAACACAATAATAATTGCAGGAGAAAGTCTCTTACTTTCTCACTCTATCTTCTTTTCTCTACACCGAGATACACCGAAGAGCACACCTTGCGATTTTACTGATTCGTATCCTTCAGCTCGTAAGTCTTCTTCCCGTGCTTTGCGATACTTCCTTCACCAGCAAACCAACGCAGAACAGAAGAAGAATGAGGGAGAGCCGAATCTTGTTTTCCTTTCGAACAGGCGAGGACGAAGCGCAGGACGGTGGAGACGACAACTTAAATTTGTCCTCTTAGACAAATATATACCTCAGATCTACAAAGTCCCCTTGGATGACGCGGCTCGTAGTTGTTGACAATGATCTTTCAACCATGTTGGGTAGACTACCTCCTCTGACCAACTAGATCTGGAACCTCGACGACCCGAGACAATGGATCCATGGGATCTTGATCTCTTTCGTCATTGTTTCCCTCATCATCCGCTTTAAGCTTCAAGTGACAAGTTTTACAATATCTTTAATGGTGGCGGGAGTAGTTACAGAAATGGCAAACAAAAGCATATATATATATATATATATTATAACTGGGCTCAACACTCAACAGTTTTACAATATCATATATATGTTTGTTTTTATTATATATTGAATATACAATTTTAAATGACTAATCTTAATCGAAAGTGCTATCCCGTTATCAGGAAGGGGTGATTAAACATAGGGGCTTGCGCCTATGGAAACCTAAAGAGTTCTATATCGAAAAGTCCTCACAAAATGAGGGCAAAATTTTTGGGTAGTGTCTTATCTACAATTCAGGCTGACTAATATTTCGTAAAAAGAAAAGTGTAAATAGTTCTCTTGCAGGTGTTGATTGGATTTCATCTAACCCGTTGATGACTGTCATGCTCAATTCTTAACTTTTTCCCACACCCTACAAATCAGGTTGCAGCCTTTTGGTTGGTTTTAGTTGTCGTTGGACAGTACTTTATAGACCTTTTGGATGCTTTTCTGGCGCACATTATATTCGAGCTTTACAAAGGGGTTTTAGGTCATTAGGCTTTCGAGAAGTTGTCTCTTGTAAGAAAAACCTAATTAATTTGGGAAGATTTACATGCCACACAAGTCTTATTTATTTACATATCTAACTCCTAAACTTCAATTTTTACAGATATGCCACATTACCTTGGTATGACTAAACTTCAATTTTTACATATATGCCACATTACCTTGGTATGAAAAGGTGTATTTCACTTTTTTTAAGTTAAAATAATGGTATTTTTTATGCAGTATGAGAGATTTTGGTGGTATGGATGCAAAGATCAAAGTTTAGGTGTTAGGATATGTAAATACATAAGAATTGAGTGGTATGTATGTAAATGCCCCACTAATTTGAATTTTAGGACCCCTACTGGAAATTCAGAATCCTTTTTGGAGTCCCTTTATGATTTTTATCCTCAGATTTTATACCTCATTACTATTGTGGAATGGCTTGGGTCATTTATGCGAATTAATATACTCCGTGAACAACTTGATAATCATTCATATAAGCTTGCTTATGTTCGTTACGTACATAATTGACCACAAACTTTGGAAGCTAGTCATATAAATGAAGATGCTTGGACATTAGCACATTTGTTTATTTATATTTGTGAACATGCTCGTTTGTTTTTTAACAAGTTGCTCATTAAAAACTCTATAATAATTTCATTTAATGATGTCTTAATTGGTTATCTGGTGACTTATTCTATGCTTTTGAGCCTATTTTTCTGTATCTTACATATCTTAAAAGTATGTAAATTACTAAACATAGAGTATGATGAAACTGTCATGATGTATTATTTAATATTTTTTTTATTAATATTTTCATTTTGCCAGACAACTTAAATATTATTCAGTGAATTATGCTAACTATGATTAAAATTTATAGATCTAATTACATCTAATATAAAGCTATATGTTTAAATTCATGTCATTAAACATACAATTGCTCGGGCTTGATTAATAGTTGAATGAGGTTTTAAGATTTGGGTCATTTTAAAATTCAACTTGAACTTAATGAATAAATAAATGAACAAATCTGAACAAGATAATACTTAGCTCGACTGATTTCTTTGACAACCTTACTTGTAATTACCAGTTATACAGTGCCTAATATGTTTTGAAATGTTCCTCTTGCACCAGTTGCCATTTTGCTTACTTCCTGTTTTTGAAGTTTGAAGGGAATGTCAATTCATCTGCTATATTTATTATAGTTTATGTTTTTCTCACATGAGTTAATCTGTTTCGATGTTATGCGGTATTTTTCATAAATGAATAAAATATATGGAAGATTTATATATACCACTCAATTCTTATGTATTTACATATCTAACACCTAAATTTTAATTTTTATATATATGCCACCTTCTCTATGCATGAAAAGGGGTATTTCACTTTTATTTTTAAGTTAAAATAATATTATTTTTGATGTGATACGAAACATTTTGGTGATATTATTATTAAAAATAAAGTTTAGGTGTTAGTGTTAGATATATAAATATGTAGGAATTAAGTGGTATGTATGTAAGTGTTCCTAAATGTATATTCAAATATCTATAAGATGGATTATTTGTCTGTATGCTAAATGCCTTCCTATCATAATCTAATTTCTAATTCTCAGTACTACTCCTATGTGCTTGAAACCCCATATGCTGCCACGGGTTCGCATAACCTAGCAAAAGCCACAGCTAAAGGAAACACGGTAGTCTTGTTTGTAGCAAGCGCAAATGATAAGCAGTGGCCAACTTCTCAGGCTACTCTGAAGGCCATGGTTGATTCTTTCCAAATATAAGGTACTTACAAATTTCCCCCGATTTATTTTTAAAATTTATATTTTACTTCCTGGCATGTTGATTCTCTTTATATTTCTATAATGAAACTTGCGACATAAATCAAAATTTACTTAACAGTTACGTGTATATTTTAAATCTTATACAGTCACAAATCTTGAAGCAGTAGACTCATATTAGTGCTGATTGATTCATTGTCGATAGAAAATAGTTTTTATGAAAAAAGAAAAATTATTTTCATTCATTTCATATATAAAAATAGAACAGTTGTATATGAAGGGTTTAAAATTGGGTAATAGAGTTTCAAAAGCAATATTGAATTTTCGTTAGTGAAGCTGTCAAATGATCCCATGTCTATTGTGTAAAATAATAAATTCATTGTGTCCTAGATAAGGTGATGAATATGTGTGACAGATTTAAGTTTCTTGGATCTATTATCTAAAAGAATTGTGCTATAGATGAGAATAGTATTTATAGAGTTAAAATTGGATGATTATCATTAGGAAGGAGTTTTGTGTTATGTGTGATATGAGGATATCATTGGGGCTCAATGATAAATTTCATAAAATTATGATTAGACATTTGATGTATATGGATCGGAATATTGAACTTCAAGAAATTATTAACGTCTAAGTTCGGCGGGATATGAACTGTATATTAAGCTAGATGTGCAGTAAAATAAAATAAAAAAAACATATATTATGGGATGATTATTTCTAATGTAATGTTGGTGCGGCAAATCTTGAATATAAAGCAGTTGAAAATAAATTCAAGTAATTTTGAAATGACTAATGATGTGTGAGCAAATATGTTGATTAGATGTTTTGATAATTTTAGTAAAGAAAAAGGGGTCAAGGTATAATTAAATGGATAGAAGTTATTGAATACTTAACATAAAACATAACAAAAATAAATGAAAAAAGTGGATTCATAAAATAAACGAAGTACATAGAAATAGTAGGGATTTATCTAATGACAATATGGCCTAACAATTGTTTTAGTTTAATTAGAAATGAATATTGATTTTAAACTCTTAAAATCTTTTGAAAATCTCCCAAAGGAATGAGTTTATTTTCACACAAAAATACTGGACTACAAAATCAAATGGGGTGGTCATTGCTGTGTGCAATAATACATGAGAGAGAAATGAAAAAAAAAAGAGTATTTTTATTTATTTTAATTAAATGTTTTATCAACTATGGCTTAGCAGTAATCCTAAATTTAACAATAATTAGCTCTAAATTCTGATTAGAATATGCGTTTGAATTTTGAGTTAAATTAATTAATTTTCAAACCGATCTAATTTTAATTAATTGCCAAACCGATCTAATTTTTGTTTTTATTCACTTTTCTAAACATAATAATCATAGCAGCAGTTAAGAAACAATCATTGCAGCTTAAACCATGGAATTTGAGAAACAGAATTCTTCCCAAATAAAAAAATAAAAAAAATAGAAAAAGTATGATCACCACCTAAGTCAGATTCGAACCAGATATGTCTGCTACCTTATAACCATTACAAGCTAAATTGAACATTTCCAATTAAACAAGAAGCCTAACAGCGGACAAGGCCATGGCTTCACATGGAGATAGAGAGAGAGACAGAATATTCTTATTTCAATTTGATTATGATAAAATTTATAATTATCAATTTTTTTCTAAAATAAATACACCATATAACTAGTTAATTAATATATTTATTGTATATATTTAAAAGTAAATTTGATGATTTTAATATCATATCATATCATTCTGATTTATTATTGCTATTATTATTTTGAGCTGGTATTGTTTTTGACTTATAGCTGACCTCAGAACTTAAAGAAAGAGATTGATGGAGGCATGTGGTTGTTTCACATTTTTCTTCTAAGGTATTACGCATTAAAATAACTTCTTGATGGCATGTGCACAGAATAGAATTTATAAATGAATACTACTACATAATCTATTTAGCACTTCCATGTTCTGTAAAATTGTCCTCAAATGTTTGTTTTTAATACAATATTCATCAATTTTATATTTGTTGTAAGAGCACTTAATTTTATGAAGATTGAAATATTATAAGTGAGTTGTCTCCCTTAAAACCACTGTACATACCAGTCAAAAAAGTGTGGTAAAACTTTTCACAAAGTGTTTTATAGATTTGATTACAAACAGCTTTTTTCAGAAAGTTTTGGTCCTAAAAGCCTTACTTAGACTAATTAATTTGATTGGATCTTATAATCTTAATATTAGATGCATGCTGAGGAACACCACACATGGGCTGGCCTGGAGCTTCTGATCTTAGTTTAATCGGCAGAATTTTTAATTAGAGATGATGTTTCCTGTGCAGAAGGTATCGGGTTAATTGGAATGGTTTATTTAGGTTAGAATAGATTAATTTACAGTTGACCATGATGCATGTTATTACTAAAATATTTGTTTTGAGAAGATTTTGCCATATGATTAATTAAAAAAAATAGGGGCATTACCACACAATTCTTATGTATTTAAATATCTAACACTAAATTTTCATATTTACATCCTTAAACCCAAATATTTAAGACTACATCTATAATACCACTATAGTTTGCTTTCCTATGTATTTGCATATCTAACAATTTTCCATGCATAAGTTTTTGACATCAAAGTGTTATAAATGTAAATATGAAACTATGGGTGTTAATTAAATATGTAAGTTCTTAAGAATTATGATAAAATTTAAGTCAAAATATTTTGGCTTTACACCTAATCAAGTTATTATTCATGAAATTACACTTATTTTTTTAAAAGTATGATATTTATAATAGACTGGATCCGCCGCAACTTGAATTTTGCAGGTTTTTTTTGGATAATTTGCCTCCATTAGAGGTTGACTTAGCTAACTGAAAAATTAGATATTCATAAGAATATCCTTTATGCATATATTAATGTTAGAAAATAATTTATTTCTATTAGAAGTTATGAGGATTAGATTTATTTCTTTATATAATTTTATTTTCCTTTTTATTTTAGATTTATTTTTTTGGATTAGATTTATTTCCTTTCCTATTTTGTGTTGTTTATTTCATCTCTAAATAATTAATATAAATTGATTAATTGAAGATAGTATGTGTTATTTCTTTTCTTTCAAATTATTTCTTTATTATTGTTTTTCCTATTCTAGGATTCATGTAAGGGTTATTTTATGCCAACTTTTATATCAATAAAATTATCCCCATTATTCTAAATTTCAGCACAGTATCAAAGCCTAATTTCGTACCTTAGCCACTGGTTCTCCTTCCAGAGTCTTGCAGGAAAGGAGGGACGCTCGTCTTGGTATTTGAAACAATGATTTTTTCTTCTCCTCCCCCTGCAGTCTTGGTCTGTCGACCCGCCCTTCCCAAGTTGGGAGCTTCGACTCTGCTGGCCTCCAGAAAGTAAGCGGCAGTTTCCCAACAGTTTTTCTTCTTGCTATTTTTTTCTCTCGTAGAGATCTATTTCGTGGAGAATTTTCTGTTGTTGGCTGCCCGGTAAATTTTTTTCCCCCCATAAGGAACTATTGCATGTCTCTGCAATATAGATTTATAGTCTTCGGTTCCTTAGCTACAACCATTCTTCACTCTAACTACTACTGGTTCCCCACTTCCCTATCGGTTTTCTAAAGCTTGTTGCCACTGATCCTTCCGACAAGTAGTTCCAGATGCTGAACCTCCCTCCGCTGAATAGTCAATCCATAGATTCCAGTCTCGGACCTTCTTATCACGAGATTGGAGCACATCTAGAGTGATGACGTCCTTGAGATCCTCGTCGAGGGTATATCGCATGGGCAACCAACCATGGATTACTGCTGCCCTCTCACTGGCGGCCTCGCCTGACAAGATTTCTGTCGGACCTCTGTCCATCGGCTCTCCCTCTCATCGACGACCCTTCTATGATGAGTTGTGTGCCGATGACTTTTCTGTTGTTCCTCTCAGGCACAAGACTTTCTCGTTGTTCTTACCCAGAAGACTTTCCCGCTGTTCTTACTCAGAAGACTTTCCCGCAGGAAACAAACAGTTTTTTTTTTTTTCTGTTGTTCTTCCCATTTGCAGGAAACAAAGCCGCTTTTTCCATGAAATCCAACACTGCTTCCTGTCGTTTCCTATTGTTCTTCTACAAAAATCCAGCGTTTTTTTCTGGAGCTTGATCCGTCACCGGCCCTTTCTCTTGCTGTATTTTTCCTTCTCTGTGTAGGCGTTAGGAGGAGTTGTGTTTCTAGCTGCCCTTTTTTCTGCAGCTTTCTCTGTCAGTAGAATTTCCTAGGTGTAATTTGCTCTTTCTCTCCCTTGTGGAAATCCTAATCGGAGAGCTGCTACTGTTGTTCAAAGAGCGGGACTTTCTCTCTCCAGTAGCACTCCCAACCGAGGGAAAGTTATTTTCCCGGGCATGTCTTCGCAACAAAATTGGACATAGGGGAGGAGCTATTTTTGCCATTTTTTTCCCCTGAAAGTTTCAATTATTATTCCTTTCTGCAGGAAGTTGCGGTTGCAGCCGTTGCGGTTGCAGCCGTCTTTATGGCGTATTTCGTCATTTCACATCCGTGAATGGTGGAAACGAAAGGAAGCTTATTACAGAGGAGTTCATCGTTGGTTTGCTTACAAAACGACTCGAAAAATGCTATTACTGATGCATGACTGATTGTATTCTTGAATGGATTCCCAACAATCGGTCTACATGCCCTACTTCATCGGTTTTTTTTCCATGCTGCCAAAAAACTCTATGCGGGTCTTTCTCTGTTTTTTCCTTTGCCATCGTAACTTTTTTCTGTAGCAAGCTTTTCTCTGGAGCTTTTTCATGCATCAAACCCTCCATAATTTTTCTAGCAGCTGACATTCCTCCGAAGCTTTTCCTTGAGCAGGTCCTCCACCTGAATTCTTCCTACAGCAGACCCTCCTCCAGAGCCTTTTCCTGCATCAAACCCTTCTTCATAATTTTTTCTTACATCAGGCCCTCCGGAATATCTTACAGCAAACCTTCCTCCATTATAAATTCCTCTGCAACATTATTTGCAGGAGTCTTCCGCCTACCTACAAATATCATAAAAACTGCAATCAAAGATAACCGTAGTACGAGATAAAGACTTCAAATTCTACTTCACAGGATCTTCCTCGTCCATTATCTGATGTTTTCAAAATCCAAATTGAGCATAATTTTCAATTATGTTTCAACTTGAGGGGAACTATTAGACATTATATTAGAAAATAATTTATTACTATTAGAATTTATGATGATTAGATTTATTTCCTGACATAATTTTATTTCCTTTTCTATTTTAGATTCATTTTCTTAGGTTATATTTGCTTCCTTTCCTATTTCAGGCGTTCTTATTTTATGTTGTTTATTCTATCTCCAAATAATTAATATGAATTGATTAATTGAAGATATTAGGTGCCACATCTTTCATGTCCTGTTATTTCTTTTATAGGATTCATGTAAAGGTTATTTTAAACCCCTTTTATATCAATAAAATTATTTCGCATTCTTCTGAATTTCAACAATAAATTTTTTTAATGTTGAAAATTATCTTTATTTATCTCACTTTTTTCAACATAAACATGTAAAATTCGCCTCAATTGATGCTAAGATATACCATAATCTTTAGGTTGTTAACGGTATATGTATAATTTTTCATTTGTATGCTTGTTATGTTATTTGCAATAAAATTATCGTACCTATTCTCATATAATTAAACGAGCGACTCCATGAGTTTTTCATGCTCGCCAAGTACGTGCTAGCTTTTTGAAAATTTGGAAAATTTACATTCATACCACGCAATTCTTATCTATTTACATATCTAACACCCAAAGTACATACTTTGATATTTACATTAATAACATCATTCGTGCCATAAAATTATGCATGAAAAATTATATTTTACTTTAGACAAAAAATAATGATGATAATAGTCTTAATGTAATGGTAAATTGGTATGTATGTAAATATGAATATTTAGGTGTTATGTACAAAAGAATTGTTTGGTAAGCAAGCAAATGCTCGTTAGAATTTTCAATCCAAAACAAAATTAATTTTGGGATTGATGCGTACTGGAAAATTCGCGACGGTAATGGATTATCGTCTTAGCGTTGCACGAGGATTCAACACACATTTAGATAAAAAAGAATCGACTTGTGATGACACCAGAAATTTTTACGTGGAAAACCAGTAAAGGGAAAGAACCACGGGGTCTGAGCCAGTTATAAAAATTCACTATAAATAGATGATTACAGAGATCCCTTGTCCTACAGACAGGAAAAAATTACTAGATTTTCCAAGAATTGTTTAGTAAGCAAGTAAATGCTCGTTAAAATTTTCAATCCAAAAATTTTTAATTTTGGGAGCAAAACAAATTATATATATATAATGAAGCTTTAAAGGCATATTTGATTGGGGCCATCAAGATCTGCTTTTCTGCTTGATGGCAAATTGATTTTGTTGTTTATTAAAGAAAATAATTTGTTGTAAATTGAAAAAAAATTCTTTGATTTTATTTTGACTAGAGCTGATTACTGTTAATTAATCATACTATGTTATTAATGCATGAATGAATTGTAGTAATATTGTTAGATAAAACTGATTATGATTATTAAATAATGATAATTAATTTTCTTAATCTTTTTAAAAATGATTCAGCAGCTTCTCCTCAAAAAAACATTTTTGCCCTAGAAAATTCATGCAGGATATATATAAGTCACCATAAATTAATTTACTCGCCCCCACACAAATCTCGATGCACAGTGCATGAGAAAAAATTCTATGTCAAATCAATATCATTTAAGCTACGATATCAATAGCTTTATAGTCAAATAGAACATCTCGAAGACATGAGCCCAATGACATTGAAAAAGATTAAGTTTGAATCCAAATGAACTTAAACCAAGCATTTGAAACATAGTAATAAGTTTCAAAACACTATTTGAAATGTCAAATGATCTTTAAATTTAGCATATTCATAGTCAAATCAAACCGTCTCAATAAAATGAATTCTGTGAGTCTAAGATATTGAAAGAACGACATGGTCTAGGAATCAATATCATTTGTTCTATGAGTTATTTTGGGATTTAGGCTAAATTTATTATAATGCAATTTTTAAGAGCTATAAATTAATCCATATTTTTACTAGAAGAGGCAGGAGAAAGTCAAAAGTTAAGCTGATACTTTCGAAGAAGACTCGGAAGCTCGCATTAGTGACTTTTGTGATCTAAGTATTGTCGTATGGTCATTGTAGCCCAACTCTTATTTTCATTGTTGCTGTATAAACCTAGTACTCAGACTTATTTAACCTCATCATCTCTCAAGGTAAAGCTCTACAACTTCAAACATATAGTGAATTATTCTGATTATGTCACATACAATATTAAGATATTAATCTGATTAATAGCTTCATATAATTCATACATATCTCCTAAACACATTTACATTCAATCTCAGTAACTCACTGATTTTAATCCAAAATAATAATAACTCAGCC